TCAGATAAAATAATATATGAAACATTTTATAAACATAACAGAGAGATTTTATGGCATTTGAATTGAATATTCAAAAATGTATAGCACATTCTCTGAACTTATGCAAGATTTCTCAACCCTTCTTCCCCACCCTCCTTCAAAATATGAAAGGGCAATATATCTATCACATATTGTCCCATCTTGAACTAAACGAAGGACGACAGACGACCTCCACCCACCCCCCACACACTAACAGCGGGCACCTGCATAAGTCCAAAACAGAACTTTTAAAAAAAGTCAGAAACTATTCCTTTGGTTTTGAAAAGTAACAATATAAATAAAAGGCCTTATAGCAGTCTCCAAAGACGGTCATTAATCTAGCCAAAAACATCATACCAGCAAGAGCAAGGAGAACGTGTCTTGGGTTTAATTTTTGAAGTTGGCTTTCTGAAAGAAGTAAAGGTAGTTGCCACATCCTCTACAGCATAAAAAGGGTACAGACATGGCCCCTCTTTGTTTTCTTCAGAGCAAACTGCACCTGCTACTTACCCTGTCTTGTACCTCTGAAGTAACTAGAAGGCACATCCCTGGACGCTCTGACAGATTCTTCTGAGCCAGAGAAAATAGTCAGAAGTGGTGACTGAGAGCATGGCAGGCAGGAACTCAGTGTCAGAACACACCTTGCATATGACTCTTCATACAATAACCAATTTAAATGACTTGCAAAGTTTGAAGACTTTTCTATTGTGTATTGTGCTGCTCATGCTAGTACCTAGTACAAAAGAGTCTTAATCCAAAGGAGAAACAAGAAATATTTGCAATGCAGTGCTCAAGCAAACATGCCAAAAATGACATGCCTAAACCAATCTGCAGGTCTTCAGAACACCTACCCGACAGCTACTCGAATGTGTTCAGAGATGGTAAAAATGTGCATTTTTGTCTTTACATATATATTTATGTGCACTCAAATCAAATATGAAAGGTAATCTCCTGTTAATGCAAGATATTTAAATATCTTTCAAACCTGGTGACAGTATCTCTTCAATATAAGCAGGCAATAATGTACTTTAAAGGAATAATCATACCTATATTACTTATTTTGTCTTTCATCAAGCATTCTAGGTTCCACCTGTAGTTTTCAAAGTCTGCAGAAGTTGCCTAAGAGATACAGATCCTTCTCCATTTTCTTCACTTACATATTGGTTAACTGATTCTTTCCATTAAAAAAAAAAGAGAAAAGAAAAAAAAAAACACTCTCAGCTTCCAGCTGCTCTCTGAAATTCTCTCTTTCAACCAATAAAGCACAAATGTTGTCCAAACAGGAACAGGAGTAGTGGTTGAGAATTAGGTGGTGAAAGAAACTAAGTCCACCTAGAAACAGACAAAGAGCTATTGAGGTCATTAAGGGCTCAAAGAAGTTCATGTTCTTAAAGCAAACCATTGAAAGAGTTTTAAGCAACAATCTCTCTTCACGTAGAAGGATGCTCTACAAGAGAAAAGATGAGCAAAAGGTTTTTTCTTTTCTTTTTTATGCAGACACAATGCTGAGATGCCTGCTAGGGGAAGGGGAATAATTCCTGC